CCCCTCCTGAGTTCCCTCCCTTTGCTCAGTACCGACTCACCTGGGAAGCTCTTCCCAGGTTTTCGCTGGTCTCCTGTGGTGGGTCCCTGAACCTGGGGAGCAGCTGGGAGGCTATGTCAGAAATATTAGGGGGCTACAGAAGCCTTGGTGATAAGTGTGTTTCTTTCTTTCTCTCCTCTTCCTCCTCTCCTGCATGGCCTTCCTCTCTACCAGCCCTGGAAAGTCCTGTTTGATCAGGTATGTGAGCAGTTAAATTCCCTCTCTTCCTTCCAGCCCTCCCCCAAATCAGAACTGAAGATGCTGACATGGGGTGGGGGTGTGGCCTAGTGCATTTCTGGGACTGAAGACACTGCTCCCCTGATTTTAGGAGGAGGGGGGCTCCCCTGAGACAACCTTCCCTCCCTCCTCCTCTCAGCTCACTTCATCAGAGCTGGATCTATACTATGTAGAGACTGGACAATACATACTGAAAGTCAGCGATGGTGTCTGTATGCCAGGGGATTGCAGTTGGTCCTGGGGAGATGGGGGAAAGGCTTAGGTTAACATCCCCTCTTCTTCTCTAACCCACTATCAAAGCTCCGTGGCCACCAGTGAAGTCAAATCTCTCCCATCCTTGGAGCGCGACTCCCAGTACGGGCTCTTTTGAAAGCTAACTCTGATTTTCTGGCAGGAATGGAGGGAGGGGTGTAGGGAGAATAGTATGTGATTGTTGCAACTCCTGGAGTCTAGGCCTGGGGAATGGAATGGGGTTGAGGATGCCAACCAGAGATGGACAGCTGACCTCCGGCCAGGATATGGTTCTCTTTGCTTGGTACTCGTGTTGGGTGCTGTTGTGATGGTCCTTCTCCCTCTTCGTGCCACGAAGCAGCAGGAGAGGAGGCAAGAGCTGTCCCAGTGTTGGGGGAACGGTGAGCACTGCAGTCCTGGGGTGAGATGACTGAGCCATGAACTTTGTGCGGGAATATGTTTTGTTGGGGAGGGAGACAGAGCTGAAAGAGTAGCTTGGACCAGACCATGTCCTGTTGCAGGCAGGGGAAGCCTTTGAGCGTTTTTTGGCAGGTTTGTTACGGGATCCAAGCCATGCTTTGGGAAGATTCTGCGTGACAGTGGGGTGGTGGTGGGTGGACTGCAGGGGTGAGTGACGCTATGAGGAGCCTGCTGCCGTGCATGGACGCAGGCATTGACTTGGAGGAAGACAGTAAGAATGGAAAGGAAGAGGGACATGGCGATGGGAGACTTGGCCGACCTCACTAGACTGAATAGATGAGGTGAACCACATATATAACTTTGACATTCTGAATTGAGGGGGAAAAGGGAAAGTCAGGGTTGGGATTGGGGGGAGTGGGGTTGGGAAGAAAGGACAATTTTGGTTTCAGACAAGTTCAATTTGAAGAGCCAGCTAAATGCAGATGCCCAGGCGGGATTGCAGCTTGAAAGACATGGTGGGCCTGGGGTGGGGACATGGGGTGTCATCCACGTTAACACGAGGCCTGGCTGTGGTTTGAGGAGCGTCTAGTAGCTCCTGTCCCCGTGGGGTAGCACATCTCTCCCTCTGCTCCTAAGTGCCACCCACTCTCCCTCCGGCTCCTAAGAGTACAGCAGCTGCTGGCCTGATGCCCTGAGGCAGGAGGGAGCCGCTTGCTGCCACTAGTACCCGACCAGCAAGCTGCCAGCCCTTCACACTTCTTGTCAGATTTAGAATCAGAACCTAGAACACGGTGTATCATTCTGTTTGGCTCTGTCTGTGTCTTTCTCATTTGATTAATTTCCTTTGCTGGTCCCTGGGTGTGTGTTTACACTTTAAAACAAACTGGGTGAATGGAGGAAAACTTTTAGTAGGAGGAATTTGGAACTGGAGGGAGCAGGGAGAATGTGTAGGATCTGATATTAGTGGGTGGTCTGTGCAACTCAGTTTCTGCCGCTGGAGGGAGGTCCTGAGTGTCACAAAGACCATCCCCCTGCTTCGCGGAAGGCCCACCCAGAGTCCACTCTGGGACAGGCAAAATTATCCTAGGAGAGAAACTTTCAAAACGTACTCTGGGCAAACAATTTTTTTCTCACAAGTTCTGCCTATCTACTCCCATCCCTCCGTGGCATTGGAGGCCAATTTTTGTCATCCTTCCTAATGGTGCTTTTTAAAATTTTTTAAGATATATTTTTATTGATTTCAAAGAAGAAGGGAGAGGGAGGGAGATAGAAACATCAATGATGAGAGAGAAGCATTGACTGGCTGCCTCCTGCATGCCCCACACTGGGGATCGAGCCCACAACCCAGGTATGTGCCCTGACCGGAAATCCACTGTGACCTCCTGGTTCATAGGTCGATGCTCAACCACTGAGCCACGCTGGCTGGGCCTGTCGGTGCTTTGTGTTGAAGGACAGGGTTTGACGTCTGGCACATATCCAGTCCCTCTGCGTTCGTCCCCTTGCTTTGCAAGGTCAACCCTGGACCATTCCCCTGATAGGGCTAAATGAAGAGTAGGTCTGCAGCTCCACAAACGGACACCTGTTTCAGAAGGATGCCAGGTTGTTCAGAACGCTGAAGTGTTTTATCCTTCCTGCCTCTCTGGGCCTGCTTAAAGGCAGGATTTGGTGAGGGTGCACTTGGTGCCCTTAGGAAAGAACCTTGGCTGGGGATGGCAGGCACCCTCCCTGCCGTCTCTTAGACAGCCCCAACGGGTCAGCCTCTGGTGAATGGGGTGGGGGGAACTCACACCACACCTGTCAGAGTTCCTGCAAGCTGATGTGGCTCTACAGTTCATTCCTCAGAGGTCAATGGGATGGGAGGCTGGCCAGTCAGCTGGATCAAGGGGATACCAGTGGTCAGCTGGTTTCAAACTGGGATCTGCTGGGACCTTTTCCAGGTGTTAGGAATGGAATTGGACCAGTTCTTCTATGCTGTCTAGTTCTTCAGCACATAGAGTAGCTTTGACTCAGCATGAAACTAATTGGACCTCAAAGGCTGCAAGCCATGACCTTGGCCTTCTGGTCTTAAAGGCTGGAAACCATGACCTTGGCCTTTTGGTCTTATGTGGTTACCCCTCAAGTAAATGGCCAGAATGCCTTTTGTGGGAGCTGGAGGTGAAGGAAACAGGTGAACCCAGACCCTTGGAAGTTTATCCAATTGCCCCCTACCCCCGACATTCTGGGCATTTGTCTGGCCTGCTCAAGCTGGCTTGTTGCATGATATCCATCCTCACCCCTTCCTCAGTTTTTCCATCGATCCCAGAAGTTACAGCCATCAGGATGCCTGAAGATCATCACCCCCTCCCCACTACCTCCCACATGTCCCATGTTTTTGTTTCCTATTTTAACTTCTGCTTGAAGGAATTGTCTTCTCATATCCTTGGGATCTTAATGGTTCTCCTAAATACTAGATTTTAAAGTTACCATAAATATTAATCTGTTGTTATAGTATTACTAGAGGCCCAGTGCATGGGGGGGTGGGGGTTGTCCCTCAGCTCAGCCTGCGCCCTCTCACAGTCCAGGCCCCCTCGCTCCTTACCGCCTGCCTGCAGAGCTCACCAGCCGCGAGCCTGCTCAGCCAGAAACTGGGCTCGCTGCTCCTTAGCGCTGCCTTGGAGGCAGGAGAGGCTCCTGCCACCACTGCTGGGCTTGCCAGCCTTGAGCCCAGCCTCTGGCTAAGTGGTGTTCCCCCTATGGGAGCACACTGACCACCAGGGGGCAGCTCCTGCATTGAGCGTCTGCCCATTGGTGGTCAGTGTGCATCATAGCAACCGGTCGTTCCGCCATTCAGTCAATTTGTGTATTAGGGTTTTATTATATAGGATATTAGGGTTTTATTATATAGGATGATAAAAAATGTCTCATTTTTCTATAGTTGAATCTGTTGGACTTTTGCTTCACAATCCCTTCTATTGCTTCCGGCCTGAGAGAGTTTTCATCCCTTTTCAGATTTCATAAATATATGCTGCTATTTCCTACTACTTCTATGATTTAGAAAAAATATTATCTAACCCTCTACTCTATCCAGATCTTATTCCTGTCCAGTTACACCAACATCACCTATTAAGAAACACTTCCTGGCCCGGCCGGCATAACTCAGCAGTTGAGTGTCAACCTATGAACCAGGAGGTCACGGTTTGGTTCCCGGTCAGGTCACATGCCCAGGTTGTGGGCTTAATCCCCAGTGTGGGGCATGCAGGAGGCAGCCGATCAATGATTCTCTCTCATCATTGATGTTTCTCTCTCTCTCTTCCTTCTCCCTTCCTCTCTGAAATCAATAAAAATATTTTTTTTAAAAAAAAGAAACACTCCTGCCCTGGCCAGCATTGCTAAGTGATTTGAGTGTCAGCCCATGCACCGAAGGGTTTCGGGTTCGATTCCTGGTCAAGGGCACGTACCTGGGCTGCAGGTTCAAGCCCAGTTGAGGAGGCAACCAGTCGATGTGTCTCTTTCACACTGATGTCTCCCTCCCCATTCTGTTCCACTGGTATTCACAGTTTCTCTCAGGTAATGTACCTTTTCAGTATTGCTTTATATGTGTCCTGTAGCTTTCCTACGAGCTCTTTTTGGTAGTCTTACTCCAGTCCCTTCCTGAACTCCACGGAGGTGCCCTCAAGGATCCAAGGTCAAATAGCAGGTCAGTGGCAGATGTGGGACCAGAGCCCAGTAAACCCCCAAAGGGCTTCTGGAGTTGGAAAACCATTTCCAGTTACCCTTAAAAATGCTTTCAAGATCTGCAAGTGTTTAATGAGCAGAAGGGTTCGTAGCAGAGTTCTGTTAATTCACACAACACAATTGCTTTCAAGCTCAAACAAGCAAGAGGCAAAAGGAAGAATTGAAAGTGACTTGATTGTGTCTCTCTTTTTCCCTTCCCATGGGGAGCATGCATTTCCCAGACCCCCCAAAAAGACTCCCAACTTTGCTGATCTCCCAGAAGGATAGTGGGCCAGTCTTAATTATCCCACCACAATTACAAATCTATGTATATATACTATACTATATACCCTAGTTTGCAAATAGAACAGGGGAACAAACGAACAACCAGTCGCTATGACATGCGCTGACCACCAGGGGGCGCGTGCAGAACATTGGCCACAGCAGGATGGTGGGGCAGGTGAGCGGGGGCACCAGACCAAGGCAGGGTGCCAGTCGCTGTCATCAGGGCGAGCCTCTGGTGGTTACTGAAAATTCTTTGCTCCAGCGTACCACGGTCCTGCCCAGCACTCCCACCTTGCTGCCTGTGCCAGCGCCGCGCCATCAGCAGGTGTGAA